GGGGGAAGGCTGGCAGGGGTCCCTGTTAGGGGTCCTGGTCTCTGACATCTCCCCCTTCCCTGTAAACTAAAGAGGGCGTCTTTTAGAGGAAGAAACTCAAGGATGGGAGAATTTGGGAGGGCATCCCGGCCGTAGGCAGCTCGCGGTCCCAGAAGGGCAGCAAGGCCATTGAGAGGCACCGTTGGTAGACAGTCTTGGCTGTCTGTCAAGAACAAGTTCGTGGTCATGAAGGAGAAGGGGAGACCACTCTCTCACGTGCAATGGCAGCTAAGGCCCGTGAGGTGCAAGAGCTGGTCCCCTTGCGATCCTCATACCCACTCCTGGTGCAATGGAAGCAAGTCCTCAGGGTGCAGGGGCTATGAGGTCGCGTCCTGTTTAGTGCCAGGCTTGCAGTTAGGCCAAGGCTGGGATGTAGCTAGGCCAAGGCCGGGATGCAGCTGTCAAGGCAGCTATTGGGAGGTTCTTTCAAGCAATAGCAGGGGCAAGCCAATTAAATGGGGTGGGATAGAGACGCCTGTCTTCAATTATCTAGGGATACGGAAGGTCAGCCAAGAGAGCCAGGAGCTCCCCTGTAGGGCCCGAAAGTTAAGAGGCCGGCCAAGGGAGGAGCGCGCGGGCCCCACATCTTCATCTTCAGGTTGTGTCACCACCACATGGGCGACAGCCTCGGTGTCGTCCTCTGCTTTTAGCTGATGGTAGTAGACTTCAACTGGTCTTTTAACTGTGGAATCTATCTGGTTTTTAACAAAACTTGTGAGGCGATTAAAAGCCCAAGGGCCAAAGGAGAGAAGCAAAAGAATACCAACAAGGGGCCCCAATATAGTGGGCAGCAGGGTAGTAAGCCAAGGGGAGGTAGAAAACCAATTTTTGTACCAAGATTCTTGTTGTTCTCTTGCTCTCTTTCTCTCTTCAAGGCTCTTTTTAACTTTCTCTAAACTGTTTTTCACCAAACCTGTCTTATCTGAGTAAAAGCAACACTCTTCTCTAAGGGCCACACACAATCCCCCCTCCTTCAAAAAGAGTAGGTCAAGTCCTCGTCGGTTTTGGAGGACCACCTCGGAAAGGGAGGCCACTGACTCAGTGAGGTCTTGGATGCCCTCTCTCAGGTGACCAAGGTCCTGATCAATTAAAGACTGAAGGTGGGCAAAATTTTGGTCATTCCTTACAAGGGACGCAATACCCGTTCCTGCCCCGACTGCACCCAGACCCAGGATGACTGAGAGGGTGAGCGCAGTCAGAGGCTCTCTCTTGTCTCTGTGTGGGACCCCGGATTCAAAGAAGCGTAGGAAGGACTCGGGCTCATAAACAAAAAATTGAGGGAGGACGGTAACAACAACACAATAATCATGGGAAAGGAATCTGGAGGTGGAGATGTAAGCGGTCAGTCCATTTGAGCAGGCAAAGAGGGTATTATTAGGCGCAACCACATACAGATAGGTTGTATTGATAGTGAGAGTCTGATTGCAAACAGGGAAAAGATCTCTAGGGGGAAGCATCTTGGGCCCAAGCAGGCAGGTGCCCATGCCAGAGATAGAGGCTAGGGTCAATCCACCCTCAGGGTTTGGGAGGGGAAGGAGGGTAGAACATATGGAGGCGGACGCAAAGGAGAGGAAGAGAGGAGGGGGGGCGATGGCAGAGGGGGATAAAGGCGAACGGGGGAGGGCTTAGGTGAAGTGACCGACACATCAAGGATGGAAAAGGAGTCAGATGCCCGGGAGGGCGGTCTAAGGGGATCAATCTCCCTGGCGGGGCCAGCTTCATTGGTCAAGGTGTCTGATGGATCTTGGTCACGATTAGAATTTCGCGACCCAGGACGAGACTGGCTAAGACAATATTCAGCCACCGAAAGCAGTTGGTGCTTTCCCTCATCTCCCTGAGCATCCTCAATGACATCTCTAATTAAACCCCAAAAAGAAAATATTGTCTTTGTTATTCCCTCATCTTTATCCTTGGCTATTTTTTCATTTAATTCTCGTCCAACTTTCTGCCATTTCTTTGGATGTATAGTTGGTCCATCAATCATAAACCAAGGACATTTTTCATCAACAAAAATAAAAAATTTTACGAGATCCTTTTTCTTTACCCTGATTCCTCTCTCTCTGAGTGCATCTTTGAGGCCCTTAATGAAACTCGCCTCCTTTGACAATGAATGGCCCATTTCTATGGGACGGAATGAAAGTAAAACTCACCGAGGTCGGCAGGTCTAGGGCGGCGACGACTGCCTCTCTCTTCAACGATGTCGCAGCTGCTTTCTCTTGGGGTGTCCGTCCGGAGAGGTTCGTGCCTCGAGCCCCAAACGGTGGGCGCCACCTGTCCCGGGCCTGCGGGACTCGGTTATTCGTGGGGGCGAGGGGAACCAAAACCTGGAAGAGAAACGGGCGAGAGAAAGGAAGGACCCAAGCAAACGGTTGCTTGTCAAGAGCCGTGTATTTTAAAAAAGGCAAGCTTTTTATAACAAGCTCGGGTTGGGGAGGGGGAAGGCAGGTGGGGTCATGGAAAGGTACAGCTTCTTCTTGGCCTGTGCCCTAGAACATTTTGTGGTTAGGGGCTTTTCTCAGAAGTAGCTATCTCTTTGTGCATCAGCTTTCAGCAGGATGAGGCATAGTCAAGGTATTCAACTGAACAGGAAGTAGGTGGGTGACAAGGCTTCGGTTTCCAGGCGAGGGGGAAGGCTGGCAGGGGTCCCTGTTAGGGGTCCTGGTCTCTGACAAACTCCTATGGTGAAATCACTAGAGAGAAAGGCTCGAAGGATAAAAAGACAAGAAAAACCCATTACACATTTTATTAGCTTTTCTTTTCTAAGGGCATCTCAATGGAGACTTGTGAGAAAGTAGGCAGGCAAAGCTTAATCTCTAACTCTATTATGTAGTACAAAGTTCATTCAGCAGCCACAAACAATTGCCACCTGCTGAACAAAACCAGCAGGCCAGAGCCCTCCTCCCCCAGCTCCCTCTGTGGAATCAAATGCTTATTTTTCATGGAAGCAGAAAATCAGCACAACTCTGCAGTTATCCTCCTCAGCATCAAGGTTCTAATGTCCAAAGAGATCCAATACTCCTACAGCTGACACAATTGAAATTGACAGAGGAAATTCTTTAGTGGTTTCATCTGCCTTGTTAGGATGTATGGACAATGTAAGGAAATAGTGTCATCATCTAAAAATTCATGGAAGTCAAGATGGGCATGGATCTGAATGAAAAAAAGTGTCTTCTGGCAGGCACTGCCTTTGTGCACAGCTTGGCAAGGAACTCTAGCACACAGGGTATCAGAGATGTACAGGGAAGAGTCTGCCACAGGTGAGGGGAGAAAGTGTGTGTCTGGTGAACAAATGTTTTAACCTTGTGGTCTGCTCAGGCTGGAGCAGAGATGGCAGCCATAGAGAAGCCTGTTATTTAAGAGGCAGTAAGGCAATGCTGCCCCTTGCTTTCCTTTGTTGTGTAACTCAGCACTAAGGAGCAGCAACAGGGACAAACTTTATCATAATTATAAAACAATAGTGAAGAAAATAGATAATAAAGAAAGCTAACTCATATAATTTTGATGTTACACTTGTCATGTGTTGCCAGAGATAGTATGCTCAGAGTGACATATGATGCTGTCAGTTCTGAAATAGAAACAGAAGCCTGAGAATAGTCCCCGGTCAATTCTCAAAGCTCTACCTCACACTTGCTCAGGAAAAAATCCTAAAGTTTTCTTCCCCTTCTTTCATTCTATCAGAAAAGACTTACTCTACAACTCTATTAACAGAACAAAGGCCTTCAGTGGCCTTAGAGATGTGGCTCTAATAATGGTAATATTCCATGCAGTGATAGTCTCTGTTGAAACCTTCCTGGGCTGCTATCTTTTGATTTGTTCATTTTCCATGTGTGCAGACATAGTTCTCTAATTAGCTTGACATATATCATTGCACTTGCTTTCCAACACTGTTTGTATTGACTAGTTGGTACAAGTTAGGTGTGGCTATGTACACTAAATAAAATAAAAACCATGTAGGATTAAAACATTATTTCCATACAAATACTGATTATGTTTTAAGTGCTCAGTACCCATGTGTTGTTAGTGGCTATCATATTGGATTGCAGAGAATATTGTTACCACCATGAAAAGGCCTGTTCGGTAGTGTTGATTGGGTCCCTTCTTCCTCATTTTCTCCAGTTTCCTTGATTCACCTTACTTTTTCCACATCTATCTAAAGAGATACTTATGCTTCTCCAAAATCTGCAAGAACACAATGAATCACCTAAGTTTTAGATTTTACAGGTCATATTATTTCAGGGCCTCTGAGATTCAGAAAATATGTTTCCAGGTTGGGACTTGAGGTAGATGGATTACTAACTTTCTGTAAAACCACCATATTGATTTCTATCTATCTATCTATCTATCTATCTATCTATCTATCTATCTAATCTCTTTATTTCATGCACAATTTTAGAACAATGAATATCTATTTATATAAGATATCATAAATAAGTTGGATATATACAAAGAAAAAGCACACACATCAGGATGTTAATATACAACTGCTTACTAATTAGATTATTCATAACAAACTTAATCAGTGGATACATAGATAAGTAAATTACACTGTACTCAAATAACATAGCTATAAAAATAGCTATAAAAATAACATAGCTATTGAGGCAGATTTATACATTTATTAATACTTACTAATCACTAAAAGCCTGATTCACACATAATCATAATTTAAATTTCAAAAATGTACATACTAATATTTATAGAGGTCTCAGCTATAGAAAAATTGAACTGTTTGTAGTGAAACAAGTAGAGCAAATGTTTAGGACAGTTTGTGATATAGGCAGATGTGGACAACTTACCTATATCATATTTCAATGAAAGAATGAATGGTACTAAAATGTCAATGTATCATAGTTACTCCTGATTCTTTGATTCCACTACCAAATGCATATGTAACTCTGCTGAATTTATACTGTTATGAACACAGAAGCAGTGCCTTCTATAGGTACTTTGTTTTTCTACTAGTCTTGATCAGATTCTTTCCCCTGATTTTTAGCATTAAACCAAAGACCACAGGGACCAACATTACTGCTTAAATTTAACAGATGAGCAAAGAGACATTCTAAGTAACTGATTTACTATTGTTTACGTGAGTTTTTGGTAGAGCCAGACCATTGTTCCATGTGATCTGATAACCAGCTCTTAAATCTTTCTTTATAGTGAATAGCTCTCATTATACCATTCTTCAAACTTATTTCTAATTTTCCATATATATAATGTGTAGCAGTTTAAAAGTGCTTAGATTGAGGACTTTACATGGTGAAAACTATAGTGAAAGTAAACGTACAGGTACTTTGTGATTTCTTATTGGATTTAAAAGAAAAGAAGAGCAGGATTTAAGAGAAAAAAAAATGCCAATCATCTTTTGTCACTGTGATAGAATATCAGAGAATATAAAGAAGGAAGAATTTATTCTTCCTCTGGCTCTCAGTTTCAGATGTATCAACCTATATTAACATGGCTCTGTGTTTCTGGACCTGTGGTGAGGTAGTGTATCATGATAGAAGTTCATAGATAGGAAAGTCAATAATTTACTGATTTCCAGGAGGCAAAGCCTGTACAAGTTGGGGTTATATCTTCCCAGGCATGCCACAGTGATCTACTTTTTTCAGCTAGGTCCCGTCTCTTAGTTTTCACTACCTCCCTGTAATGCATAAAAGTACATGATCATCGGTTGATTAATCTCCAAATGAAGATGGTGCTCCCATGACCCAGCCACTTTCTCAAAGCTCATCAAATGGCAAAGAAGCCCTTTAACACATGAGCCTTCAGGGAACACTTCAGACTTAAATAAGAAAGTACTTTCTTACACCAGTGAGAAGTCTTCCAGAAGCCTTCTTACATAAGAAACATCCAAGATGCCATCTGAAGTTAGGACATCATTCAATCAGGCAGAATGGGGGTTAAGTAAATTATTTTATGAAAAACACAAAGCTTTATTTTACCAAGGGAGTATGAGACATTGGTTGATTGATTTAAATGGACATTGCTATGTATCCCCGGTTAGTCTTGAAATCCTTATATGGCCTAAGTTGGAATCAAAATCCTGGCCCTCTTGCCTTGGCTTCCAACATGCTAATAGTACGGAGGTAAAACCATGTCTGGCTAGTATGGGGCATTTTGTTACCTAATTTCAAGAGTCTGAGAATTAATCTACAAAAGCAAAAGGTAATAAAAGATGAGACTGGACCACAGTCCACAGCCATATCAGGAAGGATTTAAGGATCCATATTAATGGAACCGAAGTTTATTGTGAGGGGTATGAAAATGTTTCAATTGTGAAAAGCACATGACAAGATTGGAAATTCAAACAATTTTAAGTCTGTGTATATTTAGAATGTCATGGAAATAAGAGTGTTATTGAAAGAAGGCAGAAAGTGAGAAGAAGTCAATTAGAAAGCTGGTCCAGTGAATATGCCACTGCAGAAGTGATGGAAGAGATTAAAATGGCACTCATAACTGTGATGCACAGAACTTCCTGACTGGTTGGGCATGCTGAGTAAAGTAGAGTTAGGGATTAGTGAGGAAGGACAGGTCAACTATCCCCTCTGAAAATTTTTTAGAAATTTATCAAACACACAGAAAACATTAGAATAGAAAGGCAAGCTCAGTGTAATAGTATTTTATTTAAACTCCACAATTAATATTTTTGGCATTGTAGTTTTCACTTTATATGTATTTTGTATACATCAATTACTTAAAAGAAACTTCCAAGCACCATAAGTTAGCCTTAATTAGCTCAGCATTCATCTGCTAGAAACATACAAATTCTTCTACAAAATCATAATGACACTTTGCATTGAGAAAGTTTAACCTCATAAATTATAAACAAGACTGACATTAAAATACCCTTACTTCTCAATATTGTTTAATTTATACATTTTTTTAAAAAATCACGGATGTAAACCTGGCATCACACATTTAGTTTATTCACTCTATCTCTGTTTTCTTAAATCTTCAAGATTTTCTTTTTTTTTTTTTAACATCTTATGAAAAGGATATTTCAAAGAACTTTTGTCAGCAGGATGTTTTAAGCTTAAATAAGGATTTGGCAATTGCTTCTTCACTGGTAAATTCAGGCTATCTAATGGTTGACAATGACACTACAGAGGATATATTCTGCCTACTTCTTGTCTGACATAATGAGTAATACCATTAAAAATGGCTTAATTGTTAATCTTAATTGTTAACTTGATAAAC